TTCTTTATTCAAATCTAATATTAAAGAAAAAAATGAAATATTGGCGAATCGAGTGAAAATTCCGTAACTGATGTTATGTTAAAGATTCGAAATCTTTGTGTTTTAATCAGATTATCTAAACTATCGGTATCATTGGAACATTTTCGAATAGAGCATAAGCAAGAAGTTAAGGGTCCAAATACTCAAATACCCTTTGCAGGAAGCTTGATTCCAGACAGGACGGAAATTATCTTATCGTGGAGTCAGGTATCAGACTGTTCGATATTCACCGAGCACTTTTGTTCAATTTCAAGAAAAAACTTGATAAAATTAGAATATTAAGCTGACATAAGGTGTTTTTTTTAATTTTATCTTTATCCCGCTTTATTTATCTACCATATGACTGTGCAATGCAAGTTACTTTTAACCTATTTCTCGATACACCATAAGCAATGACAAAAATCATACCCTTTATACTTACCACTTTTATGCAGATATGTCTGCATATGGAAGGACAACACAACGACGACATTACGTTACATTGGTCGTCAAAACTACACGTATGGGCATAGTCACAAAACGAATGGGCATAGTCACAAAACGATGGTCTTCCTGCGAAAATTGACAATGGTGGACATCTTCTTTCTTATGGTAGTGCACCTAGATGTAACGATAGATGTAGTGCAACAACAACAATTACATTGTATGATCATAAATACGGGGTTTGGTTACATTATGTATATGTGCAAATATATGAAATATAATAGCCCGGTCATAATATAATGTAGTTTCGTCGAATACGTTATGATTTAATCAGTTATATGTACAAAATTTATCGCAGATAAATAAGTTTGTGTTGCAAAACACTATCAATTAACGTCCGTTACTGTAATTGACTTCGATACACCTACAATTGGGTGCGGTCTTGAACTTTAGTAAATACGATTTTCTAATTTGAATGATTTTAAGTATGTATTACGTGGTAGTCGCATTGATTTGGCCTAAAATATGTTTAATCTTGTTATTCATGTAATATTATATCCATATATTAAAATAAATTAAAATAGATTTTTTTCTTATATTGTTATAACTACATTTAAAAAAAAAAAAAAAATAATTTAATTTTTATTTAATATGATATAATATTACATGAATAGCAAGATTAAAGATCCTGTAACTCCAATTTTTTTATGCTTTTTATATCATAAATATAATGTTCAAATGAAGATTTATCAATATTGTAAGTTCAAAAAAGCATTATTTGTAAAGATTTTACCGAATTTACATATCATGGTAATAAAGGGAGGTAATTAAAAAATTATTTTCTATAAAGTCTAAGTCAAATTTTTCAATAAGAAATGAATGCATATATTTAAATGATTACATATAATGTGACAAATATTTGCCGTACATATTTTACATATCCTTCGATTTTTGAAAATTGATTTAGAAGAATGATTATATACATAAAATTTGAAGTTAACAAAGTAAAGTCAAGTGTCTCAATCGACATTTCACTTCAAGTCGTCTTTAATTTCCGTTACAAGCAATTACGAACTATTACTTGATGAAAGTAAATTATAACGTTTAACAATTATTTAACTTCCGTTATAATTAACTTCCCAGATTTGCTGAGTACATTTAGAGAAAAATAAATTTTTGGTCCTTGACAGGTAAAGTAACAAATCGGTTTAATGGCTAGAGCTGGCTTCCTGTAAGTGATGGCACTAAAAGGTCGTATGAAGTAAACAACACAGTTCCAGATTACCAAATACTGCAGTTTTTGTTTTTTTTTTTGCAAAATAGACTTTTACCATGTTGATGTTTGTTGTTTTATAACCCAACAAAATATAAGTTAAATGCATGTGCCAGTTAAAACTGATTACTTATACATAGAATAACGATATGTAGAGAACAAATTATTGCATTACGAGGGACGTTCATTATATTCGTAGACTGTGCTTTTACATTTTTTGTTAGGCAAACATAATTCATAAAAATCACATGACCGGAAACGGCAATTAATTATACGCTTGAACATGAAATTTCAACCGCGTATGACAAAAGGCGCATAAGGCAATGTCAGCATCCCAGGTCACGATGGTGTTTACCGATGTCAGCGACGACACTGGACGTTACTTCGATTTCTGACGTATCGTGCATCGCTCATAACTTCTCAAAGTAGCGTCCGTTACATCTAATACATCTCTGTTACCATGGTTATGAAAATGGCTGTCAGTCTTAAAGTTGGGTAATTTTCAATTTGAAGTAACAACGCTCTCAATTGATACCATTTTAATTTAAAATTATTTCTGAAATGAGGACATAAGTCTACGAATATATTGAACGCCCTTCGTATATTTCAATTTCTGAAAGTAAGACAAATAAGACTCTAGTTGAAAACTAACATTTACTTTAATTTGAATACCGGTGGAAACGAAATACCTGAGACATATATAATTTTTTTAATGTTTTTGTTTGTTTACGGTATGACGTTATACCAGATATGACTAATATCCGCGGATATGACCGCACCTACTGGATAGGGGCATTTTAAAAAAGCTTTTTATGTATTTTTTTGGCTGTGGTAATTAATAATACTAAAGAAATAATAATGTATATGCAAAATAATTTTCTAATTGACCCATTATTTCAATAAATAATGTGTGAGTTGCGTTATAAATGGTGAGAGAAGATAACAAATAATAATTTTTCAAATACATAAATACATCTTATATTTTCTGCTTCTAAACTGTTTATAGCATACAATAAATAGAATATGCAGTAGATCTTTTTATTGACTATTCTCATACAATTTTTTTATTTCATTGTATTTGCTAGTAATGGTATACCATGCTAAGCTTCTCAAAATAAACTCACAGTTGTTGGACCGCTTATAGTTGATGGACCATTAAAGTTGATGGACCATTTATAATTGATGAACCATTTATAGTTGCTGGACCACTTATAGTTGATGGACCATTTATAGTTGATGGACCATTTATAGTTGATGGACCATTTATAGTTGATGAACCATTTATAGTTGATGGACCATTTATAGTTGATGAACCATTTATAGTTGATGGACCATTTATAGTTGATGGACCATTTATAGTTGATGGACCATTTATAGTTGATGGACCATTTATAGTTGATGGACCATTTATAGTTGATGAACCATTTATAGTTGATGAACCATTTATAGTTGATGGACCATTTATAGTTGATGGACCATTTATAGTTGATGGACCATTTATAGTTGATGGACCATTTATAGTTGATGAACCATTTATAGTTGATGGACCATTTATAGTTGATGGACCATTTATAGTTGATGGACCATTTATAGTTGATGAACCATTCATAGTTGCTGGTCCATCTATTGTTGATGGACCACTTATAGTTGATGGACTTTTTATGGACCATTTATAGTTGATGAACGATTTATAGATGATGGACCATTTAATGTTGCTGGACCACTTAAAAGTAATGGACCATTTATAGTTGACAGACTATTTATATTGATGGACCATTTATAGTTGCTGGACCACTTATAGTTGCTGGACCACTTATACTTGATGAACCATTTATAGTTGACGGATCATTTATAGTTAGTTGAGAGACCATTTATAGTTGATTGGCCATTTATAGTTGCTGGACCACTTATAGTTGATGGACCATTTATAGTTGACGGACTATTTATAGTTGACGGACCATTTATAGTTGACAGACTATTTATAGTTGATTAGCCATTTATAGTTGCTGGACCACTCATAGTTGATGGACTATTTATAGTTGATCGGCCACTTATAGTTGATGGATCATTTATAGTTGCTGGACCAATTGTAGTTGCTGGACCACTTATAGTCGATGGACCATTTATAGTTGATGAACCATTTAGAGTTGATGCACCATTTATAGTTGATGAACCATTTATAGTTGACGGACTATTTATAGTTGACGGACCATTTATAGTTGACAGACTATTTATAGTTGATTAGCCATTTATAGTTGCTGGACCACTCATAGTTGATGGACTATTTATAGTTGATCGGCCACTTATAGTTGATGGACCATTTATAGTTGCTGGACCAATTATAGTTGCTGGACCACTTATAGTTGCTGGACAATTTATAGTTGATCGGCCACTTATAGTTGATGGACCATTTATAGTTGCTGGACCAATTATAGTTGCTGGACCACTTATAGTCGATGGACCATTTATAGTTGATGAACCATTTATAGTTGACGAACCACTTATAGTCGATGGACCATTTATAATTGATGGACCACTTATAGTTGATGAACCATTTATAGTTGATAGAACACTTATAGTTGTTGGACTATTTATAGTTGATGGACCATTTATAGTTGCTGGACCACTTATACTTGATGGCCTATTTATAGTTGATGGACCATTTATATTGATGAAATTTATAGTTGATGAACGATTTATTGTTGATCGATCATGTATAGTTGCTGGATCACTTATAGTTGATGGACCACTTAAAGTTGATGAACCATTTATAGTTGATGGGTCATTTATAGCACATTACACGGCAATAGCAAAATGTTTAACCTTAATCAATTGTTCGTTGTACCTTTATTGCTATTTGTAACTTAAATTGTTTGATAGGAATACAAGTGTATGAAATATACTTATACTTATTGCATCCTATTTCAGGTGGAAATTTATCTCAGTTAAACATTATCTTCTTTAAATTTCAGTTTATTACCGAATGTAAAATATTAATGTATACAGTACTTTTCTTTCCTTTTTTGATATTTTTAATTCACATATTGACGTTTTTAAAAACTAATGCAACAAGAAAAAGAATCTCAAACACAGCAACAACAAAAAACAACATGTCTCTTTTCACAAAAATCGGAGGTAGAACTGTATACTTCAATAATACTGTATCAGTTGTCCTTAATTCATAACCCAGTCCTTATTATTCATGAACTTTCACTAGGAAGTTAAAACGGACACAAACCTAAGTATGCTTTCATGACATCTTAAAATGTATTAAGTGTTCAAAGAATAACACAATGGGAAACTAATTTCTACTTAAAATGGATACAAGGTTCGAAGAATTATGAATAACAATTTTCAATCAACTAAATAATTCAACCATATAAACTATTTAATGTTTGAATCCTGTATGGAGCACTGATTGAATAAATTTGATTTGATTTAATTTAAATAAAAACCGGGAATATTTTGATAATTTGGATGTAGTTATGGAGTTAAATACTCATTACGGGGATTCAGACACAGCAAAAGAAATTTATACTGAGCTTGCGTCGGGAGATAATAGGACTGAACAAGGCAGAATTTACGATACTCTTCAACATGGTACAGGAGAGCTTGCAGATAAAACTACACCTTCAGCCAAGAAGTGTGCATGGTGTACCCTCGTACATGTCGTACATTCAATTTTAATTGGACTGTTGATTATTGCAGTATCTGTTTCTTTATACATGAGTACAAACGTTTCAAAAGGTCAGTACTAAAGATTTTCTTTATCGAACTTGCTGCAAGTCTGTTGGATGGTAACAGCTATATTAAACAAAAAAGAATATAATCTTTATTTTTTATTTGTTTATGGCTTAATAATAAGAAACACCAGAACAATATAACAAACTTTTTTTTTTTAGGACTCCAATATTATAACTTCACTCATATTTACCGGACGGTGACGGAAATGACCGAAAGCCGATATTGTATCTGTTCTTGAAACTCAGAATAAATTTTTTGCTAAGACGTCTATAAATATAATTAATCAACTGGTTCTGATTTCTTTGACTGATTTATTCTATTTCATTAATGTTACATGGATAAAAAAGGTCAAAATATAATTAAAACCGGATTTACACAAACTAATTCGTAAATAATGAGAAGCGGTACAGGGCAATTGATTTGAAGTACTCAATCTTAACCACTCGACCACGGAGTCAATATAATTATATGTCCGCAAGCAAAAGTGATGGATTTAACTTTTGAAGGGGCAACGGTAACTGGTATTTGGACAAACTGGTCAGACTGGTCGCCTTGTAACGCCAAATGTGGACAAGGATTCAAATGGAGGATTCGATCATGCACAATCGTTTCGCCGGAAGATATTGGCTTTGACTGTAACGGTAATGGTACAGAAACAGTTCAGTGTCAAAACAGCGAGTGCTCTGGTAAGTCGCCTAATACAATGATTATCTAATTGTGTGAAAATGATAAACAAATTGATAATTACAAGTGATAATTACATGTGAAACATTGGCGTTGAATCATTATACAAGGTCCAAAATAGATATGATATGTAAATCTAAATGATAAAGCGCCCCAAACGTATTGTTGCAATTTCAATTTTCTAATTGACTATTATTTGTTTTTAAAGAGAATGAACGGCCTGGGACACATTGAGTAAATAAATAAGTTCATTACATAAGAAAAATGCACGTGCACGCGAAAATTCAATGAATTTAACCCAATTCTATATGAACAATATCGGACTTTCATGAGTGTAATCTCCATTTGTCTCGGATATTATTTAGGATAAGTAGTCAGACACTTTTAGAAGTATCAAAATTCAGGAAAACCTTTTATGTGACGTGACCGCCGATACATTATACAAAAATGTGTTAAAATCGTCTTAAACGAATATCTACTAATAAATAAATCTAAATTGATGTTTTATTTTTAGTAGTATTCATTGCCTGTTAGTCTTGTGCAGTATGTTTTGCTTTATTCAAAGACGCACATACAGCTATTTCTGAATCTTTCTTTTGAAAACAATAATTGGTGAATTTTTTTAGCTTAGTAGATAAAATATATCCCAACATTGAACATTTGGAAATAATCATGCAGAAATAAAGGATGTTCATTTCAGACGAGGATTGTTATGCCATTAAAAAGCGTAGGGGAAAACCTCCAAGTGGAATTTACGATGTACGTCTCTGGAACACAAGTCGAGTTATACCTGTGTACTGTGACTTTGATACAGATACGGGAGGATGGACGGTTGCTCTATATTTGTTTTTGTTACTTATTACATTAATTTCTTTCTAAGCATAACCTTATTTCATTTGTATGTTGAGACACGTAAAATCTAAACAATTTTTACTAATGTTATTAATTTTGATACGATAAATAATGAAAGAGAACAGTTTTGCAGTGTAAAGCATACTGCATACATTCAAACAAAATTATTAAGAATGTTTCAAACTTCACATCATTAGTGGTACAGAATATAGTTTAGTTCGACTGTGTTGAGAGCCAACAGCTTAAAGATATACTCTCGAATCTGTTCCTGGCACCAATCAGAAATGAGATGTCACGTTTCTTGCTCAAAGGAACAACATCTTTCACCAGGCGGGGTTACGCGGTTATTACAGAGCCTTAGATTACTTCTGCGCCACATGTCCTCATCATTATAAAATGTCTCGTTTATACCGATATAGTTACTTTCATATAATTCACCAAATAAAATGAACGTGCATATAAATGGTGTTGAAAAGACATTTATCAAAGCCATAACATTTTTGCTTTGAATTTGTTATTGATGCAATAATTCCTGGTACAATATTACATTTCAGGTGTTTCAATATCGATTCAACGGCAGCGTTGATTTCTACAGAAACTTTAGTGATTATGAAAGAGGATTTGGTTCTTTAGACGGCGAATTTTGGTTAGGTGAGTACATGTTGATTTACTTGATTACAGTTGTTTGAATTAATTTCTGATGACTTTTTCGATAATAATTCTTATTCTATTACGACAGTTTGTATGCAAACATGCTTATTAGTTTCACATTTTTCTTAAATGAATAAAGAATAATATGACAATATTCTAATTTTTACAACATCTTTTACTTTTACATGTTTTGTCATGATCTTTGTTTTATTTTATGACTTGTGAATGTGCAGTTAATTTTCCAAAATGAAATTTACAATACAAATTGTGCTCTGCATGACTTGTGTTATTGTCATAAACAAATTTAACTCACAAAGAGACATGAAATCATCATTCTTAATGTAAAGTAAACATTATAACTATATCGTCTTTATAATAATGTTGCTGTTATCATAATGTGAAACCGGGAATCGATGTATATATACATGTCATTCTTAGGACAGAGGTCGCTCAGTGTTGCCGTTTACAATGATTGTGTCCGCTTGAGCAGCATCGTTGCCTATGTAAATATTTCCCCGCTAAAGTCAACAGTCAATAAGTTTGTTTTAATATACCGTCATACCTGGGAAGTAAGAATGCAAACTGTCTCAAATGAAGAATACATACATGTGTATACCTCAGTTTGTTAAAAATTAAGATTGCAAATCAGTTTTGAAGGTACATTGTACATTTGTTTTTAATGTACCCAAGATGGAAAGACAATAACAGTATATATACACACATGGTTGATAGATTGCAATTCTATCCCCCTTTATATATACAAATTATGTATGAAATCGGCTGGGACTCTTACTTACGTTAGATATCATTTCCGGGTATATATATGTTTTTTTTCCAATTTATATATGTATAGGCACGCACTAAAACGGGCTGCATTTTTACATTATATATCAATATCGTATATACAAATAACATGTACATACATTTATTATATACTTAGAAATGAAATATTGAGAAATATTGATGAAATAAAATGCGTATTTTCATTTTCCGTATTTTCACTGTAAAAAATTATTTTTCACTGCAGTGAAACATATTTTCCGTATTTTCACTGGTGTCTTGCTGGACTACTTTCTTTTAAATTCTGCCAGTACACAAAATTTAAGGGAAAGTCTTTCAAATTTTAATATCAAAAAAGAGGAAAATGTATATAATAAACAGAAAATTCAAGTATTTTCTATAAATACATGATTTATTTTCATCTTGTGGCATGAAAATTACCATATTTCACTCGTGGCTACCGCCACTCATGAAATATTTATTTTCATACCACTCGATGAAAATAAATCATGTATTTATCGACAAAACTTGAATATCCTCTATGTATTACAGAAAAAAACAAGTTCCTCTCTTGCTTTTCCCTAATATCTGGTAAAGAAAAAAACTGTTGATTTATCAATTCTTAATATCAGAGAGCACAATAGTGGTTTATACGGTAATTTGAATCAATTTTGTATGTAAGATTTTTTTCCACGATCTGCACTCTAAAAATTTAATGCTGATAAACATGCATGTTATTACACAGATATCTTATATATGGAATTTTCCGGTACTTGCAAACTATTTCAGTAAATTTAAATTTTATGTTTGCCCCCTTTATTCTTTTTTTTACCCGTCGCCCCAATTTACAATGGGCTAGAAAATTTTGCACATTTTTTACTGGGATTTGTATATATAAGTGGGAACTTGACTGCCATCTCATAGTTCGTTGAAGGTTGAAGGACACGAGGACAACTCATTTTTATTTAGTTTAACGAGTCTAAGTTACAACAAGTTCTCCTATTAGCCCACTTATTATCCCTTGTACTATTAAAAAATGGACAGTTGTATTATTGTATGCATCTTATGCATATATAGAAAATTACTTGCTTCTATTGTCCACTTATTGGACATTTAAAAAGGTTTGTTTTTTATAGGGGGGGGGGGGGTATAGATAAATGTAGATGAAAGCAGTGTAAATACCCCTTCATTGTGTGAGTCTATTTTGTCCAAGATGACGTCACAAACATGTTAAAATGTAGAGGATATTTGTTTGTTTTGCATGTAAGATTGAAATATAATTTCACTTCAAGTGAACACCGTATGCAATATTTTCACGAGTGGCGGAGCCACGAGTGAAAATATAAGAGCTGGTGTTCACGAATGAAAAATATTTCAATCTTATATGTAAAACAAATTAATTTTTTTTTTATTTCATGCTTTTTAAGTGATTTTAAGTATTTTTTTTACTGATTTTGCCGCGTAACGTCACGCATTCTCCTTTGTGACGTCATCACATCATGACGTCACATCATTAATTTTGAAATATAGTTCTGTTAAATTTCTCTAATTTTGCTACATTTTTAACATGATGTATGATGACATCGACTTTCTTTTCCTAAAGTAGCAAAATTTACGTATGACGGCACTTATTTCAGCCTGTTATTCGATTTAGTTTAATTTTCTTTTCATCGGCATTCAGATATAGTCCGGCTACAGTGAACATTATATTTTATAAATTTCACTAGTGGTTTATCAGAATATAATCATCTGATATATTACAATAAAACACTGGAAAGCATGAAATAAAATATTGTAATTATGTGAAACTTTCTCCTAATAATTCAGGTAAATATGAGCTTAAATTTTATCGATTGTTCTGAGAAAGATACTTTTTATTCAGGCCTTGAAAATATCTACGAAATGGTTTCCCGAGGAAAAACAGAGTTGAGGCTTGATCTGACGGCAGCTGACGGAACATCTGTATACGAAACATTTCAGAATTTTAGTATCGGTGAAAATCCGTATTATACTCTTCATATCGACGAGGGTGTGGGAACTGCAGGTATTCATTGCCGTGGTCGATTTTTAATTAAAATTGTTGTTTACAGTATATACAAAAATATTTCAAGCTGTACAATAGCAAAGCCATTTTAAAACATCATTAACATTAACAAGAAATTAACGATGTTTAGATTAGTAAAACGTGTTTCACTGACTTACATTATTGTTTTGTTTTCAATACAGGCGATTCACGAGGTTTATCATATCACAATGGTAGTCATTTTTCAACTTTCGACATGAATCGTGATGGTTCCTTCATTGATTGCGCTATAGACGACCATGGCGGATGGTGGCATAGTGATTGTACTTACGTAAATCTAAACGGTGAATATGTTACTCCTGGTACAAGACGACCTGTCAACCCGTGGGGTGGGATGGTATACTACTCATTTAAAGACTTTGAATCACTCAAGGTCTCCAAAATGATGTTCCGGCGGGTATAAATACATCCTGATCCCATTTTGTAAGGAAATAACAAATGTTATGTTCAAGCTAGTGAACACAAGTTTATTGAATAACTTTGAAAAAGTATGCTTCTTTGTATTAACTTACTGTAAAACTTCTTAACATTTTATTGTTAACAATAACGCTTGAAAAAGATAGATATTGGCGTTATATATATTGCTGTCATGATGTATTTGTCACTTATTACTCTAAGTCTTGGTCTCATGAAAAATCAATTGTTATGTCAATCTACTGTTTTATACTTAAAACTAGTCATATGTTAACCACGAACTTTCAAAGACGTGTCCAAGTGGGTTGTTTAAAAACAAAAGAAGAAAAAAGGAAACAACCTTAAATAATACAAAGACAATTTCTGCTTGTACGCGGAAACATTTTTGTGTAAATGAAATTTATTTATTGTCAACTTACCAATAGAATTAATTGGATAAAAAATGTTCTTTTATCATATGCTCACATATTAAGTATACTGTGGCAAGTAGAGATACGATGTTTATTGTTCTGGTATCTTTTTATTTACATACGGTAGGTAGTTTGCACTTAAATAATAATGATAGATTTATTTGCAAATTATAATGAATTTAGCAATTAAGTAGTTTTAATTCTTTTGAAATGTCCTTTAAACGTGAAAGTTTCCTGTGAGTTCGTATGGAATAATACAGTTTTCAATTCGATTATTACTCCTAAATTAATTTGCGGCATAATTGTATTCAGTGAAGTAAACTCGGAAATCTCCAAAGAATATGGACACTTGGTACATAAACGATCCATGAGGTAGACATCTATACTCATCTTGGAATTGACTGTAATAGATTTTTGCAACTAAAACAATCAAAAGAAAACGCAAGTGTAAAATTGCGTGGTACCTATTTTAGTATTACAAACAGTGGTCTTCATCCTAACGGTTTATCTCCGATTACTTTTAAAACAATTTTCTCTTCAATAATATTGCATAGAGCTCTCTATGGCTATGAGTTATGGAATAATTATACAGACAGTGATATTGAAAATCTGGAAAAATCGCATCGATTCTGTCTAAAAAGAATTCAGTCATTTGCAATGAATACAAGCACGCAATACACCTTAACTGCATTGAACATGAATTCAATAGAAATCAATGTTGAATTTAGGAAACTGACGTTTCTAGGGCAGTTATGCCGCCTTCCATGTAGATACTTGGCAAAAAAAGTATTCCTCAATCGGTTATTTAGTTTTCTAAACAATGACAGGCAATACGTTGGCTTTATACCGGATTCCTACAAATTGTTACAAAAATATAACCTCCTGACTGTGTTAAACAACTTCGTAAGAACTGGTGAATTTCCGTCAAAGAAAGTTTGGAAAAACATGTTACATAAACAAGTACTTATAGCATCGAAACAAGGTAGGACAGAGGCTTTATTGCACCAAAGACCGGGCGCAGTGAATTACTTACCAACACCTTGTAATACATCTGAACTATGGTCAATTACCATAAGTGCACCAGAGTTACTTCCCATGTGCTATGTAGTAGCGTCAGTTATAGGGAAAACAGTCTCCGGGAGATATACTGAACTTTGCCCATTGTGCTCAATATTATGTGAACATTTACTTGATCATATTATGAACTTTTGCCTGAAATTACTTACACCGCGTACATCCATGTGGAACTATATCATAAATTCTCGCGGAACTTACTTCTGTATTTGGTGGATAATGTTGCAAGCGAGTGCCAACTTGACGAAATCCTCACTATAACACTAGAAAATACGAGAGATGGGCAGTTACCCCACTTATAATTATGTATGTCTTTAAATATAATCAATAGTTTTATTTGTTTAAGATAATGCATTATAAATATGTGATTGGAAGAAACTGAATGTCATTCAGTATAGGTAACACACGGGATTGACACAATTGTGTAGAACTAAGGATACATGTATATTGTATGAGTACAATGTATACTTTAATTATTCAGTGACGTAAGAAATGAAACAATCATATTATTACGGCGTTTTAACCTTCAATTTATGTATATGCACACACGTATAAGTCGTTGTTATTTTTTATATGTTTGTTTGCTTGTTGTTTTTTCCCCATTCCTGTTGCATAAGATTGTTTTATATTGTAAACTAACTCATAGTTATATGTATGTATACGTACTTAAGTTAATCATAATGTTGTAAGCCAAACCTTTATATAAATAAATTATACTTAATATCACTTCAATGAACAAAGATATTTCTGATCTTGTATTTCGAATCTGTATGTTTTCGGCAAGATGAGTTTTGATATCAATACAATTTAACATTAAACTATCTGATAAATATTGTACAACATTAGAGTCAGTAATCAAATTGAATCAGGTTTGATAATCTGTTAAAAAAAGTATAATAGAAAATGTATTTCTAGTTGAGGTCTCTTGTTAACTTTCGTTTCGAACAAGATTGTCTCACATATAGAACGAAATTTTAATGCTTTCTTAATTTATATCATATATTTTTGGATGAATATTTACCAATAATATCAAGAGCAAGACTGATTATTTATTTGTCTGTTAGCTTACGTACTTATCTATTTACCTTAAATATGAGTATGCTTCTAGAAATATGGTAAATATTGATTTCTGAATTGCTGTTTTCTGTAAATTGATAATGCTTTATGTTTACAGTTATATATTTGACTACATATTATTATTGTGTCTAGCTGTTAAAATGTTTTGTTAACTTTTGTAGTTATATGTTTTTATATATGTTCAGCTCTTTATGTACATTGAAGGAAATAAAGTATCTATCTATCTGTGAATTATATTTTCTTAATAAGTCCGCATTGTATTACTTCCGCCTCTATCTTTTTTGTTGTAAAAAAACTTTTTTTTATTATAATCATTTCTATCGAAACACGTTGCTTTCAAAATAATGTTGAACAGTTTTAAAGGCTTGGAAACTATTTTTCTGTCCTTAGAATATAGCGTACATGTCTTTACTAATGTTTAAATAAAGGTTTCAAAGCACGTTAGATGTGATGTTTTTATTCACTCGGAATTAAAGTTAAAATTGTAAATAATGTAAACGTTTATACAACTATTCTATAAAAGGTTAAGGCTAAATGCACCAATCCTGATTTTGTTAAATAAATGTCTTGGCTATAACATGTATAGATATTACTCGCACATAAAATATTGTGTGGAAGCTACCAACAATAAAAGTACCCGTGTCTGTTACCCAAATATTTTTTCTCTCGGTTATTGGAATAGAAAATGACCAGTCAACATTTAACATGCCTAATATTTACATTTTCAAATAAAAGAAATTCTACGAACCTTTTCTCTTTGCTAACTCGACGTAGTTTAATCAAATTCTTAAAAATTACAAATTTTGCGTGAATGTTACCCGCAAAATAATTGTTCACATTGAAAATGTTGAATTTCTGAGTGTTTGTAAAAGCTATAAGCACAGGGGTGAAAAATAAGGTGTAAGCGACAACAATGCTTTATTCCGCGTAGGCTTCAACAGGTCTCGTATGTAAGTAAAAGGGATATAATAAAGAATTACCTGAAATTTTTGATGTATAAATAGGCGTTATTGTGTTAAGTAAAAAATGGATAGAATGGTTCGTTATATCCAATACAAACGGGGACACAAAACTTGATTATTAGTTTGTTTGATGTTATGTCGCAACATCAGTGCCAAAGTCATTTGACGACTTTCTAGCTATAGTGGAGAAGGAAGACCTCATGTGCTCCACCGTGCATAATTTCAGACACCAACCCGAGCAGTACCATCGACATGCTATAAGCTTGCTTGAGAGTTTACTCACAAGAATCTAGCGAGGCTGGTAGGCTTCAAATATACCGCCGTAAGGAAAAAGTGAATTGACCTTAACCACCCGGTAAGGGATGCATTATTTTCATGTTTATTACTAAATAAATGTAAATGAAAAAGTTAACCACCCGGTAACTACGGTGGCATAGAGGTGACATTTGCAGTTTAATTTTATCTCGTGGCCACGACTTATTATCTTGAGAACTCAAGATATTATCTTGTTGCCACGACTTATTATCTCGTGGCCACGACTTATTCTCTTGTGGCCTCAATATATTATCTCGTGGCCACGAGTTATTATCTTGTGGCCACGACTTATTATCTCGTGGCCACGACTTATTATCTTGTGGCCTCAAGATATTATCTCGTGGCCACGACTTATTATCTCGTGGCCACGAGTTATTATCTTATGGCCTCAAGATATTATCTCGTGGCCACGAGTTATTATCTTGTGGCCACGGCTTATCATCTCGTGGCCACGACTTATTATATTGAGGCCACGACTTATTATCTCGTGGCCATGTGGCAATGACTTATTTTCTCGTGGCCACGAGTTATTATATTGTGGCCACGACTTATTTTAACCAAAGAAAATTGTCGTTTCATCTTGAACAAAATTTAATATCACACTGGCAATAGCAGTCACAGGAGGGGCGTGTCAATCACCACCATATATTTACTTAAGTTCACGCATTTTTCCCAGAGACGTGCTGAATTTCAGTTTGGGCTAATCAGCTAGTATATCACTATTAACTGTATTGACCACATTAACACGTCCACTGAGTAGAGTCTTGTCATCACTAATTGGCCCTCTGTATTCTTATCAAGTTTCAAGTTAGATGCAGTTTTTCATAAAATACACTCACTTTTATAAGTGGTCATCACCAGTAGGAAGTTAGCAGTAGCATTGAGCAGTAGCAGTATCAAAATTATAAAACATGAAGTTGGCAGTAACAGTAGCACAGAAGTCGCAGTAGCAAAATTATAAAACGTAAAATTGGCAGTAGCAATAGCACAGCAGTAGCAGTAGCAATCAAAGAGGAGATCTTAAAAGAATTGACATATGGCTTTGAAACTTGTATATGTCAGTTTTTATAATAAAAAAAGAAAAAGATTCAGATAACCCGTCAATGTTAGTCAATTATCATTGTGACATTGTTGTATATCTTCAATAATAACTATCTAGATATAGGTCTTTAATGGGATTCGAATCCACAGGGAAAAGGGGCAAGTTATTTTAATGAACAAACTTAAAAGTATACATCAACCGCATATATTTCTTAATTAAATCTCAATTAAATTCGATATACCGTGCTCATCCTTGAAAATTAAAATCACAGAATTTTTTTTAAATCTATGATATTCTAA